ATAGCCTGTTCATAGCCTTTCCATCAATGAGACTTCTGCAATGCCTCCTCGTGGCCACCTATGGAAACTGGCACCTTGCGGTCCCAGGCTGAACTGTAGGGGATCTCTGAGCAGCAGGAGGCCCCAGAGGTACAGGGTCATGGCCCACCAGCATGTGGACACACCCTGGCCCTGTACTAACTCCTGTCCCTAAGCCCCCTGGGGTCAATGGGAGGCTCGGGGGAGGTGGGTCTTGCCAGTCCTCCTCCCCCCAGAAAATGACCCACTGGCAGTGTCGCACTTAATTGGAAATGCTGGGGGGAGGGGTAATGTCCCTCCTACCCAGCAAGAGAGGCGGGCTGCGGGCCCCGTTGGGAGGGTGGCTGCTGGGGCGCGGAATAGGAACGGTGCTCCTCGTCCTGCTTGCGTCCTGGCAGACGCCAGCCCAATATGAAGCTTGTGGGGCAAAGCCCTAGGGAACCCCACAGGTGGATGAAGGGTCCCGCAGCCTGCCGCCTTTTATGTGGGGCAGCGTCGGCAGAGGTGGCATCCACCCGGAGCGACTACCCGAGGGTTAACCTCAGGCGGGAAGTCAGGGTGGGGGCTTGGAACGTCCGCTCTTTGCGTCAGGATGATTGGTTGCCCCTACTATCGAGGGAACTGGGGAGGCTGAGAGTAGGGGTGGCTGCTCTCTCGGAGGTGAGAAGACCTGGCAGCGGCACGACCAGTATAGGTGGCTACACCTATTACTGGTCAGGTTGCAGCGATGGTTACCATCTCCAGGGAGTAGTCATAGCTGTCTCCGGTAGGTTCCAGCCCTCAGTGGGAGAGGTCACTCCAGTCAATGAGCGTATAATGGTAATGAGACTGAAGCTGACTTTGGGCTTCATGTCTCTTATTGCTGTGTACGCTCCAACCGATGTTTGTAAAGTTGATGTGAAAGAGATGTTCTACACCAAACTTGCATCTGTGGTAGACAGTTGTCCCCGGCGAGATATTTGTATTGTTCTGGGTGACTTCAATGCCGTATCTGGCTGTGATAGAGCTAGCTATGAGATGTCAGTCGGTCCTCATGGTTTGGGAGTTGATACCGGCAGCGAGAATTCCCTCCTTTTCCGGGATATTGCTAGATCCCAGAAATTGAGGATTTCTGGCTCCTGGTACCAGCGCCCAGACCCACATCGTTGGACATGGTACAGTGATGCGGGTAATGCAGCCAAGGAGATCGACCACATTCTCGTTAGCACTCGTCGGAGGATCCTCCAGAACTGCAGGGTGTATAGGAGTGCTGAGTTCTGTGGTACTGACCATAGATTGGTTGTGGCTACCCTCCGATTACACTTCAAAGCTCCCCAGCGGCCCAATGACCACCCTAGGGTGTTTCATCTGGACAGGCTGAAGGAGAGGGAGTGTGCTCGAAGGTTTGCTGAGACAATCTCTGATCGGTTCACAGCGCTTGACAATCTGATGGACCCTGTACTTCTGTGGGACACCTTCAAGCGTGAAACGCTTGATGCAGCCCAAGAATCGATTGGAGAACGCCTGAGAGCAAGACAGAATTCAATCTCTCAGGAGACGCTGGAAGCCAAAGATGCTTGCCGTGCGGCTCGTCTGGCAGGGGATCGGGATTTGCACCGTTCTCAGGTGTGCAGAACTCGGTCTCTGTTAAGAAGGGACAAGGAACAGTTTATTAGGAATCTTGCTGAGGGGGTTGAAGGCCATTTCTTAGTAAATGACCTTCGTCCTGCATACCAAGCCCTGAGAAAACTGAACTCCAAGCCCTCTTCACAGGTGATTGCAGTTCGCTTAGTGGGTGGCCAGATTGTCTCAGATCCTGTTGCGGTGAGGGAGCGTTGGGCTGAGTACTTTGAGCAGTTGTATCAGGTTGACCCTCCAACAGTTAACTTGGATGTGGGTAGTGCCGCGATTCCACTGCCGGACCCACCTATTAGCGAGGACCCTCCCTCCCTTGCTGAGGTTAGAGAGGCGATCTCCAAGTTGAAAAGTGGTAAAGCAGCGGGTATTTGCGGCATCCCAGCTGAATATATAAAATATATATATAAAGGCTGGTGGTGAACCTATGGCGTGGGGATTGCATGCTATCCTGGCTGCCATTTGGCAGTCCGGTACTGTCTGACCTGTTGAGGGGTATGGTCATCCCTCTCTGGAAGGGGAAGGGGGACCGATGGGATTGCAGCAATCACCGCGGCATCACACTGCTCAGTGTACCAGGCAAGGTTCTTGCCCGCATCCTTCTGAGGCATATCAGAGACCATCTAAGGCATCAGAGGCCAGAGCAATCCGGATTCACACCTGGTAAGTCCACAATTGACCGTATCCTTGCGCTTCGAGTCATTGTAGAGCGCCGTCGTGAGTTCGGACGTGGGTTGCTCGCAGCCTACATCGACCTCAAGAAGGTGTTCGATACAGTGCATTGGGAATCACTCTGGGAGATCCTGAGACTGAGAGGAATTCCAACAAGTATTATTGAACTAAGACCTTGACTTTGCCGATGATGTTGCAATTCTACCTGAGTCTTTGGAAACCTTAGTGGTGGCCCTCGATGCATTTAGTAATGAAGCGAAGCCCTGGGTCTAGAGGTCTCCTGGACCAAGACCAAGATCCAGGACTTTGGGGACATGCTAGGAGAACCTGTTCAGTCGGTACGTGCTTGCGGCGAGGACATTGAAGTCACAGAGAGCTTTACATGCCTTGGTAGTGCAGTTCATAACTCTGGGCTGTCAGACCAGGAAATCAGCAGACGGATTGGCCTGGCAGCAGGGGTCATGAACTCTCTCGACAAGAGTATTTGGAGATGCCGGTAACTGTGCAGAAGGACCAAGCTACGGGTTTTCACGGCTCTGGTAATGCCAGTTTTGCTCTACGG